CTCAAGGGCAAGTTTCAGAGTCTCTTCTGTCATCCATTTTGGTCTTCTCTTCTTCTGTTGTCTTTTTAGTGCCTCTTGCTTTCTTCATGGATGATGCTCTTTATGTCATCCCACAATTCTTCTGGTTTTCGGTCACTGGTGTTCAATGCATCAAATCTATTCTTTAGATGGTCTCTAAATTCAGGAGGGATACATTCTAGATCATATTTTGCCTCTTGTGGACTTAATTGTCTGTAACTTCTTTAATTGTCTTTGAACTTGCATATGAGGAGCTGATGGTCTGTTCCACAATCAGCTCCTGGCCTGGTTTTGGCTGAAGATATTTAGCTTCTCCATCACCTCTTGCCACAGATGTAGTCAATCTGATTTCTGTGTGTTCCATCTGGTGAAGTCCACGTGTATGTACAGCCTCCGTTTGTGTTGTTGAAAAAAGGTGTTTGCAATGAAGAATAGTTGGTCTTGCAAAATTCTACCATGCACGTTCCAGCATTATTTCGGTCACCAAGGCCAAATTTTCCAACTACTGGTGATTCTTCCTTGTTTCCAACTTTTGCATTCCAGTCACCAGTGATAATTAATACATCCTGATTGCAAGTTCGGTCAATTTTAGACTGCAAGAGCTGATAAAAATCTTCAGTTTCCTCATCGTTGACTTTGGTAGTTGGTGCATAAATTTGAATAATAGCTGTATTAACAGGTCTTCCTTGAAGGCGTATGGATGTTATCCTATCGCTGACAGCATTGTACTTCAGGACAGATATTGAAACATCCTTTGTGATGATGAATGCCATGCCATGGCTTGAGTTAGGTGATCCTTAGTTTTCACAGTGACATCTTTGCTCTTTAATACTTTAAAGAGGTACTTTGTAGCAGATTTGCCTGATGCTCTATGTCGTTTGATTTCTTGACAGCTGCTTCCATGGGTTCCATGACTATGAAGAAATACTTAACAACTTCAATGTTTATCATGATGTTGCTTATTGATTCATTTGTGAGGATTTTTGTTTTATGTTGAGGTGTAATCCATACTGAAGGCTATAGCCTTTGATCTTCATCAGTAAGTGCTTCAAGTCCTCTTTGCTTTCAGTAAGCAAGGTGTGTACTCTACATGTTGCAGGTTGTTAATAAGTCTTCCTCCATTCCTGTTCCTGCATTCTTCATGTAGTCCAACTGCTCAGATTATTTCCTCGGCATACAGACTGAATAAGTATGGTGAAAGATACAACTCTGACACATACTTTTCCTGATTTTAAACCATTCTGGATCCCCTTGTTCTGTTCAAATGACTGTCTCCTTATCTATGTATATGTTGTGGATGCACAAAATTTAATATTCTGGAATTCCCATTCTTGCAATGTTACCTATACCTTGTTACGATCCACACAGTCCTATGCCTTTGTGTAGTCAATAAAACACAGTTGTTTTTTGGTATTATCTGCTTTCAGCCAAGATCCATCTGACATTAGCAATGATATTCCTAGTTTCATGTCCTCTTCTGAATCCAGTTTGAATTTCTGGCCGTTTCCTGTCAATGTATTGCTGAAACTGTTTTTGAATTATTTCCGCAAAATTTTACTTGTGTGTCATATTAGTAATACTGTTTTGTAATTTTTGTATCCTGTTGGATCACCTTTCTTTGGAATGAGCACAAATATGGATCTCTTCCAGTTGGTTGGCCAGGCAGCTGTCTTCCAAATTTCTTGGCATAGACAAGTGAGCACTTCCAGTGTTGTATGCATTTGTTTAAACATCTTAATTCATGACCTGTCAATTCCTAGAGTCTTGTTTTTCACCAATATCTCAGTGCAGCCTTGATTGTTCCTTCAATACCATTGGATTTTGATCAGGTATCACCTGAAATGCTTGGACATTGACCAGTTCTTTTTTGGTACAGTGACTTTATTCCTACCATCTTCTTTTGATGCTTCCTGTATTGTTCAATATTTTGCCCATAGATTCCTTCATATTATAAGTCAAGGCTTGAATTTTTCTTCAGTTCTTTCAGCTTGTTCAGCTTGAGAAATGCTGAGCATGTTCTTCTCTTTTGATTCCCTAACTAACTCTCAAGTCTTTGCACATTTCATTATAATACTTTGTCTTCTCAGGTTGCCCTTTGAAATCTTCTGTTCAGATCTTTTTTTTTTTTTTTTTCCCTTTACCCTACATTTAAGAGCAAGTTTCAGAGTCTCTTCTGCATCCATTTTGGTCTTTTTTTTTTCTTGTCTTTTTAATCTTTTTATTTCTTCATGCATTATGTTTGATGTCATTCCACAACTTGCCTGACCTTTGGTCATTGATATTCAGTGCATTAAATCTATTCTTGAGATGGTCTCTAAATTTAGATGGGTTATACTCAAGCTCATATTTTGGTTCTCATGGACTTGTTTTAATTTTCTTCAACTACAACTTGAACTTGCATATGAGCAATTGGTGATCTATTCCACAATTGGCCCCTAGCTTTGCTCTGACTGATGATATTGAGCTTCTCCATTGTCTCTTTCCACAAGTGTAGTCTATTTGATATCTATGTATTCCGTCTGGCAAGGTTTACATGTACAATTGCCATTTATATTGTTGGAAGAAGGTATTTGGAATGAATAAGTTGTTGGCCTTATAAAATTCATGGGCTCCCTGGACTTGTTTCTATCATCAAGGCCATGTTTTCCAGCTACTGATCTTGTTTCCAACTGTCACATTCCCATCACCAGTAAGTATTGCACATTATTTGCATGTTTATCATGCACCAAGAAGTTGAAGTCTGATCTGAGGGCCTCACTAATTCCGTTTTGTAGATTAGACTGTCAGGACATTTCAAATCATTTGTTTAGTTGGTTTTAAATGATATTTAAAGAGTTGGGTAATTTTGGAAACTGCATTGCCTCCTGTCAAGACCTTTTCTCACTCATGCTTGACACGTTTCACCTGCAGTGCTTTTTGAAAACTAAATTCCTGGACTTTAGCCCACATCTACTGAAGCAGAATTTCCAGAGGCAAATGCCCCATCATCTTTACCAGGCAAGTCTGGGAATAATTACATGAGTAAGTTGAATTCTTCTAACTTTGAGTCATTGCAGTAATACATTCTTTGTCACATTCTCTTGTTAATCAGAAATTAAATCCACTTACACACATAGTTGGAGCTGTGGTGGCGCAGTGATTAAGGCATTCGGCTGCTAACCAAAAGGTCTGAAGTTCAAACCTGCTAGATGCTCCATGGGAGAAAGCTGAGGCAATCTGCTTCTGTTAAGATAAACAGCCTTGGATACCCTATGGGACAGTTCTACTCTATCCTATAGGGTTGCTATGAGTTGGAATCAACTTAATGGCAGTTTGTTTAGTTTTTGGATACACGCCATCACATTTGAAAGAAAAATTCTTTGGTATTAACTGGTTTATTACAGATAGAAGAACTTGGTTGGAACAGTTTGCTGAGGTAAACAACCTATTGACCACTCTAAGAACTGATATTGTTGCAGAAAATTATGGAAAAAACAAATGATACTGAAAGGACATTTCAGTGCAATTATTAGCTTTCAAGGATTGCTTAGAATATTTCACATTGTTCTCTGTCAAATGCCTTGTTTTAAGAAAGTGGATCAGATTGCTGGAAAATTCAGATATTTGTAGAAAAAGTAAGCAGTTGCTATAGAGACTTAGCATTTTATTGCAGACATTTCCAGTGTTTCAAATTGCATTAAGGGAGAATTTGTGTATTTCAAATTAATGAGTTTTAAGCATTTTTTCAGGAAATATTTTCTGCTTTATTGAACAAATCATGTACCTGCAAGATAACACAATTTGTTATCTAGTCTAAGGAGTATTTCATTTTCTCTTATATTTCCATGATAAACCAGGTATTTCTTACTTTTAAAAAGTTCAGATCCCTAATTTAATAGTTTAGAAACTTATCAAGGGAGAGACAAGGCACTAGAACTCTTTTTTCCTTCATATTTGGCAAAAGTGTTCCCAAGCCATCCTGTCATCTATCCATCCATTCAGAACCATTAAAATTTCCTCTGTATCTACGACCTCAATTAATTATACAGCTAAATTTTGTTCTTCCTTCCATATTGCTAATAACTCGGGGAAACTAGGTTGCTATTTTCATATCAAGACAGGTGTCACTTCTAATTCCGAAATTTCAAATGCTGAAATACCAAATGCCGAACTGGATGTTCTAAATTGATCTGGAATAAGATAAACATATATTTCATGATGGGAGCTCTGGTTGCGTAGTGCTAAAGGCATTTCACTGCTAACCAGAAGGCGGCAGTTCACACCCACCAGCCACTTCTCAGAAGGAAGACTGGGCAATCTATTTCCATAGAGATACCACCTTGAAAACCCAAGGAGGGGTTGCTATGAGTCTAATTGACTCCACGGCACTAAGTGAGATATTTCATGATGACTTAAGCTAGAGATTTATTTTACAATTCAGATAAAGAAGTTGTAGAATGATTTAAGTTTATTTTTGAGAAATACTATAACAAGAATTTATAAGTTCTGTGTTCCAGCCTGAACACTGACCATTGAAAAATAAATGCCTTTCTGTGCCAGCAGCTGTTGGTGCGTGCCGTGCTCCTTGATTGTGCCATTCTCAAACACCACTATTAAATCTGCATTCTGGATGGTGGAGAGGCGGTGAGCGATCACAATGCAGGTGCGGCCTTCTCTGGCTTTGTCCAGGGCTTCTTGGACAATCTATTGATAAAACAAAAGCCTTACCTTAAAAACTGTGTAAGTTATAACATTAAAAGAAATTGTAGAGTTTTACCATCCTCACAAGTCAACTGTTTTCTGATTTCTTTGAATCTTTGGCTTTATGCCTGTATATTTTCCATAATTGACATTATAGTCTGTATATAATTATATTCTGCTTTATAAATGAATTCCTATGCTGTAAATAATCTTCCAAATAGTTGTATTTTCTAACTACCATGTATTTTGAGTAGTCCCTTTTATTGAATGTTTTATTTCCAAGTTTTTTTGGTATTACAATGTGCTAAAAAATGTGATTTAATTTACCATTTTTAATGTTTTGATTTTTTTCTCTTTATAAAATAAGACTATTTTAGAAAATTTGAAAAATACTGTAAGGAATAAAATATTCTACTACCTCAAAATAATAACTACTGTTAAGAAAAGACTGGGTTATCTACCTCCATAGTGATACCGCCTCGGAAACCCAAGGTTGGGTTGCTATGAGTTGGAGTTGGATCTGACTCGACAGCAGTAAGTGTTTTTTTTTTTTTGGTTATGTATCTGTATGTATTTTTTTTTCCTACCTTACTCCCTTGGCTGACAGTACAAAAGTATTTTACAAATTAAATGAGACAGGAAGTGAGAGGCTACACCACCTTTTCACTTTCAGAATCCAGAGCTGATGTAGCTTCATCCAACAAGAGGATCTGAGGGTGTCTGATAAGGGCTCGGGCAATAGCAATCCTCTGTTTTTGACCTCCTGAGAGCTGAGTACCCTTATCTCCAACTCGTGTTTCATATTTCTGTTAAGTTAACCATTTAAAAGTTAATAAAATTCTAACTCAGAAAAATTAATAATATAATGAATAAACTTTTACTTTTTAACATGTGACAGTTCTATTTACAAGGAAAAATATTTAAAATCAATAAAAGCTCCTGTAACAACCAGGGGAGCTCTGGTGGCGTAATGCCTAATGCATTTGATTGCTAACCAGAAGGCTTGTGGTTCAAACCCACCAGCCACTCCTTGGAAGGAAGGTCGGGCAATCTACTTCCGTAGTGATACTGCCTCAGAAACCTAAGGAGTCGAAATTGACCTGATGGCAGTGCGTTCGGTTTTTTGGTTTATAACAACTAGACTGTTAAAAGAGTTGTTGTTGTTGTTATGTGCCGTCGAGTCGGCCCCGACTCATAGCGACCCCTCCTTGGGTTTTCGAGGCAGTATCACTACGGAAGTAGGATT